TTCTATAATCAATGTAAAAATTGCATAAACTATATTATTTCTATTAGTATAATTAACATAAAAAGTTTACAACTTTCAGGTTCAATATCTCAAGAAGTAAGTTAAATCGATATAAAGCGTTGTACCAATGTAAACTGCCAAAACTTAATTTGATTAACATAAGTTGTTTTAGCTGCAGTGGAAACATGATATAACAGTGTTGTTCTATACCTTCAGTGAGGGTGATAACTGTGATCAAAGTAGATATTGTTGACAACTGATGATTACTGAATAAAAAAAATTCCAACTATTAGATGTAGGTCATAATGTCTCTGAAAAGTTTCTAATTATTAAATCTATAATATTTTTAAAGAAAGTACGATTTTATCAGAAGTGATGGATCGGCTGTGAGTAATTTAGTAAAAATTGCTTACAACCTATGTAATTCTATAAGTGATAAAAGCTATCGAAGCTTCTTAAACCAAGTAAAACTATTTTTACGTTGAACTTAAATGTGGATCCATCTATTGGCTATATTTTTTTCTCGTTGTTATTTTTTTTTTGTGAGAAAGTAGAATGTTTTTTGCATTTACGAAACCGAACATCACCGGTGTGCCCGACTTCCTAACAGTATACGGACCTCCTCTTCGGAGAGACACATTGCACCCCAGAACTGTATTCGGATTTATTAATTACATTGTAATTAAAATCGTTGTAATGTGTATATTTGTTAGTAATTTTCCTAACAACATTTAATTACTATGAATCTGGACACTTGCCAGATTAATTACTTCTCAAGACTATATTAATGAGTGAAATTTCACATTACCCTGTATATGCAGGTTTTTAATATCTTTCACATCTTTATTTAAATATCTTGTGCTTTATACTAATTATTTTTTAGCTACTTTTATATGACTATACTAAACTAGATTCTAATATTTCTTAAACGCAAAATATGCTTATTCTTAGTATATAATATATGTAAGATATTTATAATTTAATAAGAACAACTTTAGCTTAGAATAATAGTTAAGTGTTTAACATTGCAGTTACTGGTATCTATCCTTTATGCATGCAGTCTTAACTCCATCATTGGCCCTCACCAACCCCTTTGAGAAAGGATGAGGGAATATGCTTATAAAACTGTCAACGATAAAAGGAAAATATAAATCTTCTTTTTCTCTGTTTTCAAACAACCATATAAGTTGGACAGTGACAAATCTGTACAGTAGTTTGAGAGAAAACAGAAATTCTTGAATTATATGAAAACAAGATCGAGATATCTCTGTGATACGATACCAACATGAGTTGAATATTGATAAGCCCAGACAACTTGTTGAGAGAAGCTCGACATCCTGGAACTACAAGAACGGTAAGTGTAACGCCTATCAAGATTTAATTGTAACTTGAGAATAATATACAGTTCGAGAAAACTGCGATGTTCACATTGGTCACTGAAGTACTATGCTTGGTAATAAAGAAATTAACATAAGACAGTTTACAGAAGAAGTGTTATTCGGCTCATGGTAAGCGGCCTTTACGAATGTTTTGAACATGAACCGATTACACCGCCACACCCCCAGTGGACACCGTCAAGAGCTTTTAAAAAAACAATCCACCATTTAACTCTGACTTTCATGATCAAGTCGCCTATATGCTTACAAACTATGAAGCTCTTTCGCCACCAAAGGCAACCAATTATGGTAAGTAACAACGGATAATTGCGTTAAATTTTAAACATTTTTGATATAAATTTTTCTATGGAAGTAATAGATTCTTATGTTCCAAGCCTGTTAATAATTATAGTATATGAAATAATTATAATTTATAACAATAAAATAGATGACTATTCCAATTCAACACTGATCCACCTGAATGTTCTTTCAAACACTGCAACCGTAAAAATATATGAAGAATTATGCATTATAAGAAACAAATTAGATGCTTAAGTTATAAAAACAATTAAATTACCTCACATTTCCAATGAGCCTCAAACAGTTCCATCCACTAAATTGAGTCGAGCGATGTCTATATTGACAAAAAATCGAATAAATAATTAAACACCCGAACAAACATCGTGTCTGTCTTGGTTAGTTATTGGAAGTAACTGGTTGGCTGAGGAGAGAGTTCACCTATAGGACATAAGAAATCTCTAGTATATATATTGTACTGAGACTAAAAGCTCCATGGTACATCAGAAGAAATGAAGACACAAAGACTTACGAGCTGAGATTGTGGAAAAGTATATCAAAGACAGAGCTCTGAAATTTTTCCATTTTGTGGATGTGCACTCTCTCAAAACAAATGGAATATATGTATGTATTGTAAATCGCATCAGGAAGATATGCTGGGTTTCAAAGTATACTTCTATAAAATCATCTGAATAACTTATTATCCGAATTTAACGGAGTTCTTACTACAGTGCATCATGTAAATAGTCACAGACACTATTGAGTGAAAGTGTTTTAGACACTAACTCGCTTTTGATCAAGCAATGAAGAAGAAGAGTAAAACATATTGACTATTAGAATAGTAAAATATCTATTAGATATTCAAGTTTCATATATAGATTTTTTATCTATTCTAGGCAATAGTGTAGAAAAAGAGTAAAATATATTGACTATTAGAATAGACAAATATTTATTAGATATTCTCGTGTTATATATAGGTATTTTTTTACCTATTACTGGCAACAGGGTTTATAAACCAATATAAATTAAACAACTTCATTTACGAAAATATACTTTCAATATTTCGGGGAAAGTTTTATAATCTATAAGCAGAATTATTAATAATATTTAGTAATAATATTTATAATTTTTTTCATTAATTATTTCCAACAAACCTTTATTTATTACGAGCACTTATTTTTTACAACTGATTGTACTGAGAGCCTTCTGCTTGCCAACTCGACCGCATTCACTTGCACTTGAGAACGAGTAATACTGATAAAATATTTAATATCTCACTTAACACTAATTACTCGCAGGTATTTGCACCCTGTATATTTTATAATGTGATAACGACAAAAGATAATAACAATCTTATTTGCAGTGTTTTTACATTTTCAATATTTATATGATCGACTCCAACAGCCAAGCAGTTCAGTCGAGTTCTCGCTTCGGTCGTACGTCGTTCGTGGAGTCAAAACACGTTTAGGTTGGTTGGCTGGTCAAAAAATTGGTGTTGGTTTTTGGCTTGTAACGAGTGAAGTGCATGACCCAGTTTAACAGCGAAACGCACTTTTGTGTTGAGTAACTCAAGTGTTGAGGATCACTGTTGGCTCTCTTTAAATACTTAATAAAAACAATGCAAAAAAAAAAAACAAATAAAAATAAAATTCGAATAAATATTATTACATATGTTTTTTAGACAAAAAAAAAAACAAAAAGTCAATAGAAAAGAAAATAAAAACAAAAATAAATAATTATGGTTTAGTAGGAAAAATAAAAAAAAATTTGAAAAAAATTTGAAAAAAAATTAAGAATAAAATTAAGTGAATTTATGTTTATTTATAATAATTTATAGAAAATTATCGTTTGCAGTGAAAAGTAAAATTGTGCATAATTGTTTTAAGATTGAAGATTCAAGATCCGATATTCACTATAAAAATAGAATTGAAGAACGTCGGTGTTAGCGGCTAAGTTAGTAAATTTGTGGGAGGAGGAGGGGGAGTTAGGTGACCGTTTAATTGAAATTATTTACAATGGCATTGTGTATATTCCGGGTTGTGTGCTTCAGGCGCTTCAGATTGGCACAAATTGGAAATATTTGCAAATTTGCATAGAAATTCCTGAAACTTATTTATTGATATTAATTGCTTTAGATATAAAGTCCATACAAAGTTTATTTTATCTTATCACCTCTATAAGTATATATAAATGTGTTTTATTGCTATAATTTTTGTTCGATATTAACACAGTTTGAGTATGTAATTTGCATTTGCCATCAAATTTCAGATGATAAAAATGAATATGAATAAAAGTTCGGAGACAGCAATATGTGATTTGGGATTCAATGATAAGGTGAGTACTCACAACTACTCCAATGTTATTAAAATAATTAATTTTTATTTAATTTTTTTAACAATTAATATTGCAAATATTATTGAAATATAGTTTCTTTACAAAATATGATTAGTGATTAAGTTAGTTGCTTCTTTCTTGAATATTTTATGTCTAATACACATTATCTATTACTTAGTATTTCTAAAGAAATACGCCTATGGCCTAAAAGCTATTAAATATGATATGTAACATTATATAAGTCAATATCTTTAGAATTTTTAAAATGAAATGAGAAAAAGTTGACACCTTTGCTTTATCTTGAGAACCCGTCACATAAATGAAAAATCCATTCTTGAATTTTCTTTGAAATTGAATATATCTATGCATATATCATATTATATATATATATTATTATATCACATTATATATATTATTATATATATTATTTTATTATATATATATACTAGGGTGGCCGTTATTTACGAATGTGTTCAAATTCTAGATGCCACCCCCCAAATTTATTCGAATACTCAAAAAACTACTAAATGTGAAGTTTTAGACTAATCGGATAATGTTTAGAGGTCGCTCACATCGACCTTAAACTTCGAAAAATGTCATTTTTTCACTTTTTTCAAATTTCTTCGCTCCCATCTCGCGTATTTTTCACCTTTGACTATTTGTACCAAATTATTATTATTCTTTAACATATTAGCTTTCAAATAAGGTAAAAATCAATCAATTTCGTCCACAATTAACTAAATTATTACTAAAATAAGAAATCATACTCGACGTTTATTGAAGCTTTCAAGAGCAGCATAAATATGGGAATAAATACGAGTACGTATGAGCGAAAGCATGGTTTCTTGGACACAAAATGGTACAATATAATATTTGAAACAATCAAATACTTCCTCGATTCGGGAAAAGCGAAGTCTTATTTGATTAGCACTAGAACTGAAGAATTAGCTGGTATTAAAGGAAAGAGATAACACTCTGATCAAAAAGTAAAGTGAAATTTATTTAAAAATTTTTATTTATTCTTCTAAATCTGTTTAATCGTCTTAAAAATGCTTCTAAAGAATACAATACACTTAGACCTACGCTTTTTTAAATCATAGAAACCATTGTTCCCATGATTCTCAAAAAAGCATTTAAAATGCATATCAGTTCAGTTTTATTTCCTCAAAAACATCAAAATGGAGTCCCCACAGTGGTCATTTGAACTTAAAAAATAGTCATATGGTGATAAATCGGGTTATGGAACGATATGAGTTAAATATTTTGGGAAATAGTCTCGAAGAACAATGAAGTGTTAGATGGTGCATTATCGTTCTATAAAAACCAGGAATTCACGAACCAAAAAGTGTTGAAGAACTATAGTGAGAGATGGTGCATTATCGATTCAATTTGTGAATAGCTTCATGTAAATATTTCATAATCGTAATAATATTTCTTATTAAAAGCTTAGTACTGGAATTAAGAAAGGAATTACTAATGCATCACAACATGATAATCGAAGAAAACTGTTAACATAACGTTGAGTTTTAAACGATTTGTCGTGATATTTTAGGCCTTGGCTTACTCCATCAATTAGACGGTTGTTTTTAAGTCGTATATATAAATCTAAGTCTAATTTCATGTTAGCCTTCCTGTCGGAAAGCATTGTATATCAGACTTCAACGGGAAGTTTCTTTTCCAAAAATTGATTTATTTTTGGCCTCGATATCACTGAATTGATTTAGTTTTGGCACGACACGATCATCCCAATTTATAAACCCTGTAATTTAGTAAAGACAGTTATTTTGAGAAATTTTACCACAAGACTACATTTCGATATGAGTTACCTTTGAGATATTAGGCTTTGAAGTAGAAATTTTTTACAAGTAAATCATCATCTCCCATATTGACTTGTTACTCGTTGTTTGTGTTATCAATGTAAATACTAAAATCCAGTTGTAATCCTAAAGAGAAATAGCCAATAAGATAGATGGTTATAGCTAAATAGATTTATCTTGATATTATTTGCGTAGCACCATAACACTATATGTATGAGAAAGGGAATAAAATAAGGTTATGATAATATTGAATAGCTTAGTTAGATGGCTTACACCTTTTAATTCATAGCCTTTAATAAAATAATGAGATCTAATTAGATTCCAACATGTGTAGAATATGCACTACAAACTATAGCTATTATCATTAAAAATAAATCAAAACTACGTTTTGCTGAAAAAAGAAGGGTGCTTTGGAACCTGTGGAATTAATATCAATTATTTCCAGGAACTATTTCGAGTAAAATTGTACGATTAGTTTTTTCTCTTTGGGTTTAATAAGTAGAGCTTTTTCTACATATAAATAAGTCACATACAACTGTTTTAGATATTAAGTAAATAATTATTTTTACTTTGAATATTTTCTGCTCGACTGCTCATGATTTTTTACTATTAAATGACTACAAATTATTTAATTAGCTGGAACCACTTTTTATGGACTTCATGTCATAGATAAATGCTCACTTTTGAAATTAATTTTCTTAAACATTTGACGATTTTTTTTATTAATAAAATTATAGGCTTACATATGTATATAAAATTTAATAGTCAAGAATACAGATGCATATATTAATTTAATATTTAAGCATCCATGTATATTATAATTTTATATTTACGAATACATATTTATATTGTAATTTAATATTTAAAATTACATATGTACTTTTTTGTTTTGTGGTAAAAAAAAGACTAAAATGCCTCCTTTTCGAAAAGACTTATTTCTCCTCGGAACCGCTTTCACATTACTTCGAAGAGGGTCTCTTTTATGTTGGCATTTCAAGACCTCTACTTTTTCACCGCCTTTCCTTGGTGTCTGCACTATTTATTAGCCTAGTCTCTGCTCCGGCTTTCTAGATCTCATACTTCGTTTGGAAGACTTGAATCACATATGACTCTATTGTTCGAAAGGCTCTGGGTTCGCTCTCAGCTTTTCCACTCTATTTTCAGAATTTATTGGTCTATTGCAGTAAATGAAGGTGTGCTGTATAGTATATTATATGTATATATAATAATTATATATAATTATAATATAATTATAATATATAATTATGATATATAATTATATGATTATAATTATATACGTATATTGTATGTATATGTATATTATTTTATTTATATTATAGTATATTGTATATATTTTTTTAAATGGTAAACTGAATATTAAAATACTCATACCATGGACTCAATATTAACTGATACTAGCCTGTGCTTAAATAGTTATGACATAGGTTTTATTGATGTTTTGAAAATAATGAGATATTGGAAATAATATATGTATGTATATTTCCGTTTAAATAAAAATGTTTTTATCAAAAACTGTATTTACGATATCATTAATTTTGCTGAAATTTGATTTTTGAATATATATGTAGTTTACTGATATATATGTGCACACTATATACTATTGGCTCAGATATATTTTAAAAAAAATATAAACTAATGGCTTACATATTGCTGTTATGTATTTTATGATTTAGAGTTTTTGCTTGAGAGATTCCTTTATTCCAAAAGTGGATTGTTATGTTATCAAATACTAAAAATATATATCGATCTCTCTCGTTTTAGATTCTAATACAAGTGTCTCATATACATAGAGTTCAGTTTTACGTGGTATTATTCTCAAAACCGTTATTGAAATGGTATTTGAAGTTATCTTATTTGTCATAATCTTTACTTAAAACAAATCTATGTTTAAGTATAAAAAATGTATTCAAGAAATATCTAATCTACATTTTTGTTTAATTTAACATAATTAATAAATAAACATTTAAAAATCTCCTTAATTAATGACATTTAATTAAATAATTATATTGAAAATATATTTTTTTCAACTAAAATTAATTATTGCAATTTCTTTTGTTTATACATCATTTAATTTTTTATTAAAATTAAAACATTTTATTCCTTCTAAATCTGATTCATTACAAATGTGTTTTCAATACCTATGATTTTATAATAATAATATATGCATGTATATATATATTTAGAAATATCATATAACGCTTCAGAGTATATATATTTAAATTATGATAATTGGATTTAAACTGAAGTATGAGATTCACTTATGAGTTCATTAGTCACTGATACACTTCTGGTTTTTTATAATTATTAATAAACTAATTATAATTAGTATATCAAAATAATATAATTTTACATCTGACTAACTTTCAATTTTTTAAGCAAAGATATGATATATACAGGGTGTTTCTTAAGAATATGGCGTTAATATGGATGTTGAAATATGAATACTGATTGATGTAGTGTTTTTATCAAAATAAAATTAATTTTTTTTTTAGATTAAGTATAGTAATTAAAGCACATTAAATTTTATCTATAATAAATATTAATAAATATTCATTTAAACTTAATATAAATATTCTGAAGATGTGAAATCATCCATCATTACAGCATATCTCTAAATAAGATGGCTCATCAAATCGATATATATATAGTACATATAATTTCAAAGACGAGGTATAGCGATTTAGAGAGAAACTTTATCTAAAGGAATCTTATCTAAAGGAAATATACAAGCAATGAAATAAAACAGCCATATGTTTACATACGAGGCTAATTTTGCTTAGTTAATTAGAAACTATTAGCATAATCGAGGAGTATAATATGGAGCTGTTGCTCCCAAAAAAATTATCAAAAGTATTATTTCACAACGGCAAGAAAGCTCATGTGGTACTACTTCTTTATATATTATATGATATACCTATTATATGGCAAACGTTTGTTCATAAGGTCAAAAGATTGACAGCGATTGACAGGTGTTTTATTAAAAATATTTTACAGAACTTCATTGACTATAATTATTTCATTCTATTTGGGATGCTTTCGTAAAGATCGACATATGTCTAAAGCTGGTATTATAATCTGTGAGTGATGTGCTGTTTCGGATCGTTTATATTAAAGCATTTCAAACCCATAAGGCAATATAATAGCTGATTTGAGTAAAAAGAA